AATTGACGGACGAATTAGATTTTTATTTTTTATACCTCGTCTTCATCTATTATCTTTTAATTAAAATCAAATTGAAGGCTGCATTCAGGATTCATTGTTCGATGCATTGAGTGTAACTAATCGTACCTTTTGCAAAATAAAGTCACATTTCACGTAACAAACATAGGTACCACAATATTTTACACCCGTGGACGACACGACGTACTTAAATAGCGTTTTGAAGGAAGTTTAAAAGAGTTTAGTCCGCCACGAGTCCACTCCTGCATGCTGGCAAGGCTCAAGTAGCTAATTTACGTCATTTGATACTCAGCTTACAAGATGAAATGTAAGAAAAACTGTTAGAATATTTTGTATCAAAATCTTTATTGATATTGTGATGGAACTAAATAATGAGTCTTTTCTATAAGTAGTATTTCTGGATTACAATAGATATTCAGCTGAAGGTTCTCTATAGCAAAAAATTGGATTTTCAAATTGGTGTGCTACTGTGGTAGGTCATCATTTCAGAGTAAAAGCAAACATCTTCAAAGTTCGAGGTGGACAATACACCACTGAAAATATTGATAATGAAAATATCTGTAATAGCATCAGGTTCAGTCTTGATGCCCCTATAGGTAAACATAAGCCCTTTTATTATTACTTCCCTAATTTAATCTGTGTGCAGTTGGACACAATGTCTCCAGCAAAACACATAACATAACATCATGTCTTAAAACCGATGAGGTAGGCAAAGGTGCACATTTCGGCACTTAAATGTCACTATAGGTACAATATAACACCGACTTTTCACTATTTATGTTATGAGTCCCATGTAATAGGGGGTGAGCTTATTGCCTTACACCGGGCACAATTCCTGAATCCGTGCTACTACTGATATTTTTTTTTTGAAAAACCTAACACTTTTCCCCACCCGGAAAAGCACAAGACCCGTGCTCGGCAGTCGCATTTACGACCACTCGGCCAACGAGACAGTAATTTTATATCCACACTATTTAATAACTTTTCTTTACAAGAAACTAAAAATTCACTTTCAAAGTAAATCTTTAATTAATTTTCTCGACAAAGTGCCTACTCGAAAACTAATAAAAAGGTGGTTTTACTAACAAATTAAGAACTTGAACGTACTAAGTTTTGGATGTAGAACATTTTGTTTATGTGTTTAATAAAAAAACAATTACATAAGAGCGTTTAGTCTCACGTATAAAGGAGGGTAAAGTTTTAACAAGTTAGAAGAGGCTCTTCATATTAATTACACAGGTTTTATTCTTGGATGAAAAAGCTTCGCTATTTTGGGACATAATGTACGTGGGGCGCGTATATAAAACTCTGTAGGTCTTTTTTTTCTGGGATAAGCCGGTAAATAAGCAGACGGATCACATGATGGTACGCAATCGGCATCGCCCATGGACACATGGAACACCAGAGGCGTTACAAGTACGTTACTAGCTTTTTGGGAATTAGGAATTTGAGGTTAGTTGGGGATTAGGAATTTAAGGATAGTTGGGAGTTTAGGGATTGGGGAAACTGGGGAAGGAGAGAGGGGGGTAATTAAGCCTCCGGTAACCTCACTCACACGACGAAACACAACGCGAGCGTTTTTTTACGTCGATTTTCTGTGAAACTGTGGTACCACTCGGGTCGAGCGGGCCTATTTGTGCCGAAACACGACTCTCCCACATTTGTGCATTAAATATGTTTGCATTTTTTAACCTAAAAAAGGTAACAAATATGATCATGTACTCGTAAAATGTTATTAACTATTTAGAATTTTTGTAACTTTCTGCCTCGCACAGCAAAACTGTGGAATGATCTCTTGCCGGCGTTATTTCCCAATTGATACGACCTTCAAACCTTCAAGACACATCTCCATAACAATTTTAGTGTAAAGTTCTGCATAAAAAACTACAAATATCAACGAAACTAAAATTAAATTAAAGATATCGTATTTCCTCACACACTCAGAACCATGTCGATTGAGGTATTTCCCACGTAATTATTAGTTTGTAGAGCTCTCAACGTCTGAACATGATATCGTTCGAAGTTCAATTAAATTAGCTGTCATAATAATATGTATCTATATTACTAATACATTATAGTAATTATCGTTTATCGAAGCCTACTGTTCATGTGTAATAAACACTTTAAGTTTTAATTGGGTCTTGTGAAACCAATAGTCTTTGATAGTCTGTAAGTTACTTGTTGCCCGCGACTTTGTCCGCGTAGTAAATGAAAATTAAATTTTTCTTTTGTTTGAATTTTCCAAAATAAAAGTAGCATTTGTTACTCCTTAGTACATCAGTTACCAGCCAATAAATGTCTTGCAAAATCGGCCCATCGGTCTTGCAAATATGACGTCACAATTTCATAGAAAACTATTGTATATACAAGAAAAATAGATATTGTTATTGACAATTTAAGTAGGTAAATAGACAAGCTTTAATAACACGTCAAAATAATTTTATTGACGCAATGTAAGTGATCAAAAACAATTATTACTTCAACACTGAAATAAGTTAGTACACACTCGCTGGGGAAATAATAATGTTTATTAATATGACATAATATAATAATTCAACAACAAAATTAGACTGTAACGTCGTCTACATAACGTTCAAAATCATGTCATTTTCCTATTTATTGTGGTCTTTACTAGGGTTTTCCTCAATGATTTCACTATTGGTCTGGTTCCGTTCAGTGATCAACTAACATGCAGTAAATTCAGTGTTTGTCCAGTAAAATGGCATTTTACTATATATTTATTATAATTAATGTGTTAAATATTGTGTTCCGACCTTGTTGGGCATTGGAGTCTCCTAAAAATGAAACCAGCGATTTAAAACGTAAGTAATCGCATGATTTTTGTAAGAAAAAGAACCTTATGCGGTGTTGATTAAATTCATATTTAGGCATTTTATTCTGATATATTTCTTTGGCTAAGAACTAGTTTACTATTTAATGTTTAAAAGAAGTAATTGTAAAAATTGTAAAACAATTAAATTACATATTTGATATTGACACATTCGATATTAATACAGAGAATACGAAAAAAAAACTTCCTTCGTATTTGATGTAGTGTAATTGGAAATATACATATATTATACGAATGAAAATTACCCATTTTTATAATTAACTATAGAACTGACTTAGAATTTTAAAGTAATATTTGTAGGCAATAATTGTTATAATATTGCTATAAAACATTCATTTTCCTTATGGCGTGGTCACTCCTGATACTAACAAAGACTGTACAATAAATATCTAAATAACCTATTAATAAACAATGTAATATATCAATTTTCAGATTCAACAATTGTCAAAAGAAGTACATACGAAATGGACAACAAATATGTTCTCATGCCAAAGTACTCGATTTACCTAATCGGGTTCACTATGTTAATTATGCTCATAGCAATAATTGCATTATCAGTGGCATTGTACCGGGCTATCAAGAAAAGATCCAAGTTTGGTGTAAATGAGAACAGCCCACAATATATCAGACAAGAGTCTACAGCAGTTATACCATTGTATAATAGTACTTATGATGAACAAAATAAGAACAATGGAAGCACATTGACAGTCAACAGTGGTATCATAGAAATAAGTGAACCAAGAATAAGTGAACCTGAAAGCCCAACCCGCGTCGATGACTCCAGAATAGTTTTTACTAGGAAACCTATCAAACCAATAGTACCAGTCATGCCTCGCGGGCAAATGGATGCAATATGTAAGGAAGTGTTAAGAAGAGTACAAAAAAGTGATTCAGCAAGCTTTAGGGATCTAAATGAAATGTTAAGTGGAAAGAAAGATGAAAACGAAGAAGAGAAGTGTGAAACAGTAGACGAAGCTGAAAACGAAAAGAAACACGAAGAAAAAACTGAACCAAAAATGGAGTTACCACAATCAAAACCCCCGGAATCGAATATAACACCTGAATTACTATTGAAACTAAATGCTAGATCTCAACAACTTCAAAACCAAATTGAAGATGATATGAAAAATGAAACCAAACAGGAAAATCAAATAGAAAAAACACATGAATGTAATGATAAATCAAAAGCTGATATCAATAGCGATGTACATATTGAAATAGACTATATAAATATAACTAAAAGAGATGACAGTAGCGGTTCAGAAACTGAATACGATACAGTGCCTACTCCAATAAGGTTCAGACATTCTGGACCTGAGCCTGACAATTTAAATGTGGAGGATATCCCTGTATATGATCTTCCACCAAGAAGAAGTCATGATGGTCACACAACACATGCAGGAAATAGGGTACAAATTGACCAGGATTCGGAGTACATGATGCCACTTTCTGATGATAAGACAGATTCGTGTTATATCAACGCAAAGAGGAACTCATTCAATTTATAGTAATTGGTTCAGATAGTTTTTATCTATACTTGAAAGACGAGTAAGATAACATGTCATGGTTCAGGCATATTTTATCTGTGGACTCAGAGAAGACTGATTCGAGTGTCTGGATTGTCAATTCTAGTAGAGATCAGGTCTAATGTTATGTTTTGTATCTATCATGAATTAATAACTATCTTTAATTATTGTCGTCAGTATTATATTAAATAGGAATTTTAACTTAAAAGCCAAAGATGTTAAAAAAATTATCCTGCGTATTATTGACAAAATATTGTTTTCATATTGCTTTAGATACTTTTTAGTGTTGCATAGGTACAGACCATCTTGCGTCTGTCATGATAAACAATCATGCGGTTTGAACTGAGTATGATGCGATGCTATGCGGTAGGTACGGTACTAGAATTGTAAATATTGTAAATTAATTACGCATTATAAGACGCAAGTCGCTTTCAACTGGGCTATCTGAAATGCATTCAGTAAGAGACGTCTTGTGGTTGATATGACGATGAAGATAATTTAAAGCATAATTGACACTGTGTGTTTTTCATCCAACATTTTTGTGGTAAGTTCATTTGACTCAGTCTTTATTGTAATGACTAATAACATAACAGAACTTCACGAACCTGTTGTGGTGACGTTCATCTATTGTTAGCTGTAAATATAATGCTATAGGGGATAAAATAGAAATATTTATTAAATGATGTGTATAATAATATTGTAGTACCTATTTTAATCAAACTTATTATTAGTTTTGACTTATGGGTTTCAATTTTTCCTTGTAATATGTTCTGGGTGTACCAACGTGTTGTAAACTTGTTTTTGACATATCATTATCTAATGCATTCACCGCTGCACCACTTGGTACTTATAAGGTAGTATATACCTATATTTATAATGCTACGAAAATTTATATTGAGGTAATTATTGCTAACATTTGGCAAACCTAGTCTGTAGCTTTACTGGTATTTGGCATATGTCACGTCATCTCGTTTATACCTTATTCCTTAAGGAGAACATTAAACGGTAAAAGGTAAATGGAATCATTGATAAAATGTATACAGACGTGATGAAAGCAACTGTATAAGTATAAAAATTTCAATGTGTAAATAAAATTGTATTGTAAATAAAATTGTAATGGTGGGGTTACATTTTGTATTTCTTTTTTATTAAAACGTTGCCCCACACTAGTAGGTATTTTCTCCTTTGTCGTGGGTACGTTTACAAACATTCAAGTTCACACACCCAGATCGGAAAGATCAATTTATGGATCACACCAAGAGTTGCTCCGTGCGGGAACCAGCTTGACGTTGCGCGGCAGCCGGTTACCCAGTCACCGCGCCAACCGTACAGTCAACATTAGCAGGCTACGGCGATGCATGTGGCCGTGTACATCGCTGCAACGCGTGCAAATGATGAAGCATCGACTGTCAGTAAACTGGCGCGCTTCAAAGGACTTGTCGCAACAATATTCGCTTGAGTGACCTATATCACTTCAGTGTCATCTTTGCCCGCTAATGTAGCCCCAGCATAACAAAATAGTTGAAAATCCACCGACAACATGTTTATCAACTCTAGAGGGTACGTTCTATGAAATATTCAAGATTTATATATTTCTAGATACATTTTCTTTAGTACCGTATACGAAATATCTCGACGACACTTGAAATTTTATTCTTGGCAAAATATTTCAAAGAGGCACTTGAATTCAATATGTTCCAGTGGCCTTGTAAAGTAAGGTTTAAAGGTTGCTTCGAATTTTTGAACTAAATTAAGCGTGTTTTGTACATTTAGTACTTTTGAATCAATATTATAAAATGAAATCGAGTTAGATAGGCACATTAGTTGAACTTACTTAAATTTGTAGGCTCTTCATTGTACATGGCACGCTGCGTATCTGGATCCGTTTTTACTTGGAATAATACCTTGGTTTCGATTTTTTCAATAATGTATTAGGAATTGTCATCATCATCATTGTACACTGGTTATTAAAAAGAGAAGTAAACAACTTCGACTAAAATCTGACCGCCTCGTTGGTGGTAACAAGTGTGACTGCCAGGCAAGGAGTCTCTGATTCCATTCCCTGGTCGGGCAAAGGTAAAAAGGGGTCGGGTAAAGAAAGAAAGGAAGAAAAACCGTTTATTACGCCACGACACACATGCAGATAACAATACAAGAACACATCAAAGAATTTCATGATGCATCGCAGTGCAACATATTGTTTCTCAGTAGTAGCACGGAGTCTGTAATTGTTCCCGGTATACCTATGGCAATAGGCTCCACCTTATTACATGGGACTCATAACTTAAATAGTGAAAAGTTGGTATTACATTGTACGGTGGCATTAAGTGTCGTAATGTGCACCTTCGCCTACCCCTTAGGGGGTAAGAGACGTAATGATATAAAAACGATAGTGAATAATAATAAAAAAAATATAAGGTGAGACTGTCCATCCTAAAAATACCATACACACATATAGGTACCTAAAGATTTATCACTTTTAATACAAAAAATAAGTGCTTCATCAGACTGACGGAAAATTCATTTTGAATAAATTAAATTCTACCAGGCCGCCATTTTGTCTGGATTCCTCTGATCCTCATTACTTTTAATCTTCAGTTACTCACGTCTGCGTCTTTAGATACGACTTTAATAAATACACATGTAGCCTCCCAAAATGAAAGTTTAAATTGAAAATTGTTTAAAATTGTGGTACTGTGTTAGCATTACGTTTTTTTCAATGGCATGAGCCGGTAAACACCTGTATATATACCTGGAACACTAGAGGCGTTACAAGTGCGTTACCGGCCTTTTGGGGATCAGGAGTTTGAGGATCGTTGGGGATTCAGGAATTGGGGAGATTGGGGAAGGGTAGGGTAATTAGGCCTCCGGTAACCTCACTCACACGACGAAACACAACGCAAGCTTTGCTTGCTTCACGTCAGTTTTCTGTGAGGCCTTGGTATCACTCCGGTCGAGCCGGCCCATTCGTGCCTTTGTGTTGTTATTGTGTTTTGTGCAGAATTAAAATATTCTTTTGGTGGATAATATTTACACATGTAGAATTATTTATTTTAAATAGGTCAATTAGAATAATAATTTGTAAATATTTTCATTTTTAACTACGCAAGCGAATACTTTACTGGATCCGGATAACTTAGTGTGTCACCGTACCGGTGCACCGATTCGAAGCAGGAGAAGAAAAAGGGTGAAGAAGTAAGAGTCTGCCACTCCCTCTCCTCTCACACAAGGCGGGATAAAATATTGAATTATTCCTTACTCAAAAAAGAGAAATTTGCTACAGAAATTTAAATACGATGTAGTGTCTTAGTAAATAGACTGCAACATAACATTTTCAACGATAGTGTTTTGTTTGGAGTTATGTATGCAGTAAGTGTATGTAGTAAGTGTAAATCGTCAATTTCTTTTTAGATATACTACGGTATCCCCGAAACGCTAGGCAGACCGTAAAATGTCCAATTTTCTGATAAAACTACAACGTATACAATGCACGAAATTAAACAAATAAAATAAAATTCCTAGTGTTAAAACTGGGTCGAATTATTTTAACGAAACTACTGTTTATTTATAAACATGTCCATTTCACACTCCAGTCAAGATCAAATACGAATGGAATGTTTAATTTGATGTAAGCCCACATATAAATCTTGTGGAATAATAGAATATCAACTTCGTTTAAATATCGTTGAATGATGAGGCGCATAAGTCAATTACATTATCATTTCACGCCCTTGTCCCACTTTATTTCGGGTCGCATTATATTCGCACGTTTTGACCCATATATCTTCGGTCTATTACACATTTATGAATGTCCTGTATAATAATAATTATTATGCAAACATTAAACAAAACATTACGTCAGGCTTTCTCTGAAATGTTAGATAATGATGGCATAATAAATGCAATACTCATTTCGAGTAATTATTTATTAACTCTAATGTATTTTTCCTCAAAATAAGTGTTCAATCACTATTAAATTTTATTGATTCCCTGAATTTATCTCAACAACAACTCATTCTGGGAACTGTATTAACTGGTTTAATAAATGTTTATTTTCAAATGTCAGGACTCACAAAAATCATTTTGTTTTCACGAAGTATCATTCGGAAAAGTTCAGGGTTAGGCCGCTTACAGATGAATCGGAGCATACAATGTAATTGCATAATATTTTTCCACTACGCCACCTCGAAAGCAAATCTAAAGACATACATCATACATCTAGAAACATATGTAGGAAGATTTTAATTTTATCTGTAACATCAATTTTTTACTCGACATTCCTGTTGTAACGCACATCTACACATGGTTTTTACTGTAATAGGAGGCAAACGAACAGACGGATCACCTGATTGTAAGCGATCAGCGCCGCTCATGAATACCCCCACACACTGGAGTAGTGACTATTTTGAAGCTACTGTTAAAATATAAGTAAATCTCTTACACGCAGCCAACATTTTGGGAAAATACACGCTTATTTAAGGAAAAACGTACAAATTATTCTATATTTTCATTGTTCCAAATACCACAGAGATTGTGGGCGTTATAATTCGGATTTCGTTTCCAGAAATCGCGTGGTAACTTTACAGGTTCATCTGTTAGTTGCCTAATTGTTCCACACGTGTAAATAGGGTAGATGTCTAATTTTTATTTTAATGTCCGTCTGGTAGATTATTTAAAAACATTAGACACGTTCACTTTTCATTTCCTTACGGAAACGAATAGTTTCGAAGATATATTGATTTGAAATGTCGTGTGACGTCATTTCTCAGTACATTTTATACTAAGAAATGACGTTTTAGCCCCCACTCCCAAACTTTGATTCGTTTTATCTAAGTATTGTTTTATTATACGACACAATAAACAAATACATGTCTAATATTTTTTAATTACCTAACTTACGGACTAATTATATTTTTAATTTTCATACCCTGTCGTCATCCCAATTATGACACGTACTATTGTATTTGTCGCTTTTGTTCCAACTACGAGTTCTAGCTCATCCCAGCTCATGAACAAACTCCATTTGTAAACACAATATTATACGCGTCACAGTTTCAATGAAAAAACGTTGTATTGCAGTTTTGTGTAAATTTGATTCATGTTTGAAATGAGACGTGTTTTGTTTGTTTTTAACTGTGACAGACGCGGTTTATACTATTGTTTAACTTGTATGTGAACTTTTATGTTCTCGCTCTTTGAGAGCGATGATATTTTTTTTATATAAAGGTTGTTTGACAATTATTATACAAAGTTTTAGTTCGACAATTCAACTTTTGTATTACTAAACTCTTTCGAAAGGTAAAGATAAATAGAGATAATTTTACGAATAACATTAAGTAAACATAACATAACATCACGCCTTTTATCCCTGAAGGGATAGGCATTATGCCATTGTACAATTTAAGACCCACTTTTCACTATTTATGTTATGAATCCCATGTAATAGGGGGTGAACCTATTGCCATATACCGGGCACAATTCCAGACTCCGTGCTACAACTGAGATATTTTTTTATAAACCCAGTAGTACTTTGCACGACCCGTGAATCGAACCCGAGACCCTTGCCCGGCAGTCGCACTTGCGTCCTGTCGGCCAACGAGGCAGTCACATTAAGTACATAAATACTAACTGATTCCTTGAAGTCGAAATAGGTTAAGCGTAACAAGAAAGTTCTAGAAAATTCCAACGGATGACATCTTTTATTTTGACTAAGACATCCTTTTGTGCTCCTTTGAATGTTGAACTGCGGATATCTGTGATTCCCTGCTAGATGTAATGTCACAAGAATTGGTTCCGTCAGGTCGCTACTTGAATAGCAAATTGGAGTCTTTTGAAAGATATGTAGGTTATATTGAAAAATGGAAATATTTTCTACATTGGCCACCGCCTTATATATTTCTCAGACGACCCACGCAACAAAAATACTACAAATTTTCAACTAATTTAAAAAAGAGACGGAACAAAAACAATAAAATTGCAATCAAAGTTCCTGAGCTCGTCTTCCGGAAAATAAATTTTCGAGAAGTTTCTGCGGATGACAATACAAAAGCCGTGTTGATGGGGTATTGAAGCCACGTGCTTGTAAGTAGGTATGTAGTCCGCCATTCTTCTGTATTTCACCATCATAGAATACAAAAGTTTATCAATGACTAGCTGACCCGGCAAACGTTGTTTTGCCATATAAATTATTTCATAGAAGGGTGAAAATTGAGGATTGTATGTATTTTTTTTGTATGTTGTATCATAAAAAATATAAATTAAAAATTTTGTCTATAAAATAAAAAAAAAATTTGGGTTGGACTGCCCCTAACATTTAGGGGGATAAAAAATAGATGTTGGCCGATACTCATAAATACCGGATAAGCACAAGAAACTTCATCAAAATCGGTCACGCCGTTTCGGAGGAGTATGGCAACGAAAACTGTGTCACGAGAATTTTATATATTACATGTTATTTAAAGAAAAACTTGTGTTTGCTCGAATGCTCTCAAATATAACCAATCAAGCATTCGGTTAGATAAGACTTTTAACTGTAAACACCATCTAAGACTGTGAAGATCGACAAAAGACTCATTTAATTATAGAATCCCTAATACAATCAGTGCAATGAGGTTTATAATTACATTTAATTTAGTTTATAATTCGTATGTGCTTCTCTGTGTGTTCAAGGAATGAAAATTGAGATCTAATATATGCTTACTGCTCCAAACTAAGCATTCCTGAAACTACATAGAGTTCAAATTAAATTGCAGACACATTCTTGCTAGGAATCACAAACTAGATTGAGCTGGATTTGTTGCGAAAAGTAAGAGGAATCGTGTTTCTTTAGTGCAAGCAAGCAATAAACGACTTTAAAGTAATT